CAGGACACGGAGCAGATTCAACGGTGATTTCATTGATCGGTGATAAAATGATGTTAATGACAGTAATAACATGAAGTGACGGAGGAAACAGAAGCTGAAACAACAAACTCACCTTCTCCTTCTTACCGGACACTCGGACTTTCTTGCCGTTCGCCGCCGCCGCCTTGGCGTTTTCTTCACCAGACAGTAACCTGCGGAACTCTGGTGCTAGTCTGGCGTCCACCGCCGCGAGGTCATTGATGAGCTGTGGGCCGACAGGTCAGGGTCAACAACGGTCGTTTCAGACGCTCGGGCCTCGTCCCGCTGTTGAACTTACGTTTCTGTAGCTGAGCAGCCTCTCGATCACAGGGTGGTTATGAGCAGGAAGTCGCTTTGCTTTCAGCACCAGGTAGAAACTGATGTTGGTGCAGTAACTGTCAGGAGAGAGACGTCGATGAGGACGACAACAAACGATCAGGTGGATATTTATGGTGTGTCATGTGACCTACGTGGCTGCACTCACTTCAGATAAAGTTGTTGTTTGGTTTTCAGGTAGTCAGCGCCCTTCAGAAAACAACAACAACAACAACAACAACAACAAAGGTTTGACGTTGGCTGGTGAATAGCATTAAAGTGTTTAAGAGCAATGTGTGTACACCAGGGGGCAGCCTCCTCACCTTATCTAAGAGCAAATCCTGTTTCCATAAATGCTAACTGCTACACATTAGCATCCGTTCATCGACGCGACTAAACCTCCGTTCTGAAAATTATTTGATTACAATTTTCCTGATTTGAAGCTTTGTTTCATTAAATCTGCTGCCACCAAAAAAACAAACCCAAACATAGATATATTATTATTTCTATACATCTATAGATGTTAAAATGTATTTTATACTGTTTTATTCCTGTCACTCCTAAATATATATATTTAAAATATATGTTTAACTTTTCTATTTTCACTACTTGTTTCCCGTTCTCTTAAAACTGGTCGACATCAAGAAAAACAAAAATAAACATAAATGAGCAGCTCATGAACCAGCGTGTGGTCTGTCAGTCACTGAATGTCCGCTCTGACACGGCTCAGTATCGTTACTTATCAAAATACTGTGTAGTCAAAGTGTTTGTCCTTAAACAGCCTGAAAAACGTAGTACAATTTACGACGACTGTAAAGATATGAGGTGATATTAGAGAATAAATCAACCTCTGTTTGTTAATCAACATCTAGAAAAGTCAGACCGACCTTTCCTTCTGGGATCTTTCCATCCTTCACCATCTGAACCAGAGGCTGCAGCTCATCTTTCAGCTCCGTCAGCTGTGGACGTGAAGCAGTGGCAGAAACATAAAGGTCGTGTCCCGTCTCAGTCCCGTCTCAGTCCCGGCCCTGAGGCAGCTCTGAGTTTTACCTTGGTCTTGAAGTCCTGGATCAGTTCCAGCAGCTCTGGTGATTCTTTCTTCAGAAGTTTCATCTTCTCCTTCTTGGTCATCTGCTGCAGGTCTTTAACAATCTTCTCCTGTCTTTCCGGGGCCTTTTCTTCGTCTTCACCTTCATCTTCTGCCGTAGCAAACTCCTAAAGATGACAAACACCAGACGAGCTGAGGAGACGCTGCAGTGAAGACAAGGTCAAGGTGGCGTGCAGTGAAAATCACCTGGAAGAAGCTGAGGTCGTAGTCCTCCTCGCTCAGGTTGGCGGCCAGACGTTTCTGGATGTTTTTAGCCTCCTCTTCCTCCTCCTGCTCCTCAGCCTCCAACACTTCCACTTGTTTCCCTCCTGTAACAACACGGCTCAGATGTAAACACAGTGGACGACAGGACCGTCAGGGCGATGACATCACTGCGGGGGTGAAGACGCTCTCACTGCTTTGAACGTAGTCCGAGTCGTAGAACATCTTCTTCTTTCTGCCCCACGCCATTTCATTTGGAAGGTCTGAAAAAAAAAGTTTTAGTTCAACGGTTTTTAAATGAAGGAGGCCTCTAAATCACTCTCCATGTCTGTCCCCTCTTCTTCCTCCTCTTCTGCTTCTTCTTGTTGCTCCTCCTCCTCCTCCTCCTCTTCCTCAGAGTCCTCCAGAGCCATCACCTCCTCCTGTCAATCACAGATGATCTTAGGTTCTGTTCTGGACCAGACCACAGTTTTCAGACGTCAGAATTCAGGCCAATAATCACCTCCTCATCGATGTCCTCGTCATCACTGTCCATTTGGACGCCACGGGCCAGAAGTTTCTACAGCAGAGCAAAACAGACATGAAGTTGACACACACGCGCGCACACACACACACACACACACACACACGTGAGCCTCACTCACCGCAATCTTCTGGTCATGGAACTCGTCCACTTTGTCCTTGGTGAAGTCGGCCGACTTCTGTAAAGTAGTTTGTCAGTGTTTGAATTTCCAGAGTCTTTTAGTTAAATTAATAAAATCAGTTCGTGTCATAATGAATCTAATTAGTAAATATTAAATAACTAACACTGAGCTCCGTTAACATCGATAAGGTTTCAATAAGAACAACATTAAAATTAATGACTACATTTTGACGTCATTCTTTATTCTTCTGTATTAAATCTGAAGAAAATGTAAACCATTATGACTACATTAGTCACAAACTGCGTACATTTAACTAACGCTGATACGACTAACCAAGTTATCGAAGAACAACTACAACTGGTTAGTTCTCTAACCTTGTCGGGGACCGGCATGTTGGAGTAGGCTTCAGGGTCATCTTCATCGAACTTCTCCGTCTTCCTGGGTCTTTGCGGGGGTTTCACCCTGAAGAAAAGGTCGAACTCAGATGAATATTTGAGTCCGTGTTCAACCGAACTTTTGTTTGTGCTGTGGACGTCGGACCAGAACTACGTGAATAAAAACAACAACGACGGGACGAGACTTGACTCACCTTCGGGCTCGAACCATGGTGACAGTAAACGTTGTTCTTCTTCAACTTATCCACAAGAAACGTTTTGTAAAAATGCACTTTTTTTAAACGTCTGATGAAAATATAAAACAACTACAGCCTCCTCACACTCAGACCATGTGCTTCCGGGATTTCTTCTCTGGCAGTGAAGTGAAGTCGGCGGTCGTAAAACAAGCTATCTACTGCCACCTACTGTACGGAAGTAAAAGAGTAACTTGTACTTTTAGCACAAAAAAAAGCTCAACATCACCGTTTACATCCACTCATAAGATTTAGTTATAGTCACACAACAGAGATGGTCTGCAGAGAGCCTACTTTTTGTACTTTTTAAAAATATTTTCAGTGTTTTTTTTATTTTTACAACTAAAGTCAACTAAACCCGTTAATATCATTGACTGCCGGTAGGGGGCGGGTGGGAGTATGCGTTGTTAAATTTTAAAAAGGAGATAACGCAGTCATCACTGAGCTTTACTCCGTGGAGGTGAATACTACTTCATGACGAACTTGTGACGAACATCACAGCTACACAAACATCACTCAGTGTCAGCAGAAAGAGTAAAATACTTTTATTCATACATGTACTTCTACAAAAGGTAAACATCAGACGCTATGCATTTAAATCACCGCTAACCTCCAACCATCAGATTCACTGGGACGACACGTAAACAGATGCTAACATGCTAACATGCTAACATCACCTGAGTCTGACACGACTGTTTCCTGCTTATTTGTGGTACTTAACACTGTGAAGGATCATTTTGGTACAGTACAGTACAGTACTGCACTGTACAGTACTGTACTGTACAGTGCAGTAGGGTACAGTACAGTACAGTACTGCACTGTACAGTGCAGTAGGGTACAGTACTGTACTGCACTGTACAGTACTGTAGGGTACAGTACAGTAGGGTACAGTACAGTAGGGTACAGTACAGTCTTCTGCACCTACACTCCAGGATGATCAGGCGGTCAGAAGATCAGCTTCTCTTCACTCCAGCTCCCTCTCGGCCAACGACCTCCTCCAATCCATGTTGAGCCCCAGGGTGGACGTGCGCGGCCTGTCTCTGGGTAGAAAGTTTGTTGGACTTCTGTACAACGCAGATTTCAAGTCGTCGTTCCTTTTCTTCATCAGAGCGAAGGCAGGCGTCATGTATCCGGGGTCGTAGCACTGCTGAGGGACCAGAACAGAGAGCAGAACTTTACTGACGACCAAAGAACCTTCTGCTGCTGCTGACAACATGTTAAAGAACACCTGAGCTGGAGGTCAACCCTGACAACATCATCATAAAAGAGTTGACTTCCATCTATAAACACATGGAGATTTGTGAACCTGAACATTGTTCCCACCACAAACTTCAAACCTCTGTTTAAAAAGTGAATGTCAAAGGAGCAGGTTGTTGCTAATGTTGTTGGATTAGAAACAGCTTTGTTCTAAAAAAAAAGAAGTGAAGGAAAAGAAAAGAAAAAGAGCTGAAACACTGTAGACAACATTAAAATCATTAACCCTTCCATCAGTCTGGAGCTGGACTAAAATAAACCGTTGAAATGTTTTTGTAAAGCACGACTTATTAAAATCATGTCATATAATTACATTATATAAGCGACAACTACAGGGCTGTGATTAATAGGGTGTAACTCCAAAGCTAAATGTTAGCCAACCGTAGCTAAACTGTTTATTGTTATTAGGTTCAAGATGAGGTGGAGTCTGTTTGAGATCACTGATGACCTCACTTCCTGCCTCAGTTCCCACTCATACTCACACTGGCTCTCAGCCTGGGCGCTGGGACGTCTCTGTCTTCAGGGTTCAGATCTGCTCTGTGGACGCTCAGGTCCACCAGGGACTGGCTCAGCTCCGACACGGCCACGTTTGGTCCTTTGTTCAGCGGCCTGCTGGGGCTGAGCTGAGGCTGGAGCTTCTTCATGATGTCACTCAGGGAGCTGGGACTGTCAGACTGCGGCATCTTCAGGATGATGGGCTTCTGTCAGGTGATGAAGAGGAGGAGAAAGGTTCAGCTTGACATCAGTGGAGGAGTCAAACCCCTGACTGCCAGCTTTGACCTACTCTTGACGAGGGGGCGTTCTCCACCCTGCCGACCGTTTCCTCCATGACCCTCACCTCCTTCCTGCTCGGCTGCTCTCTGCCATTTGTAGGTGGGGTCGTGACCTTGTTGTGTTTTTGTTCCAGTGTTTTGTTGTTGGTGGTTTTTTCTGCAGGGAGTTGCCTGGAAAAGTGTTTCTCCACCATCCGGTCCACCCTTCACAGGAAACCAAACGGAGGATTAAAAAATCGGATCATTTGACCAAACCTTCTCCAGCTGTGGCTCGTCACCTTCTCATTCGTTCTGGAGTCAGATCAGTTGATGATGTCACTCGAGTGTTGCTGTGGGAACACATGAATGAAAACTGTTTATAAATCATGGATGGAGGGGCGTGGCTTCAGAGCAGTGTGTCCTTCCTCATTTTGTATTTGTGTATTTATACACATGTAGTAAAGTACGTGTATTTATACACATGTAGTAAAGTACGTGTATTTATACACATGTAGTAAAGTAGGTGGATACTGGATCGTGATTATAAATCCTCATTTTCCCAACATTCCTCTGTTTATTTTTCCATTTAAAATCCGACCCTGAAGACCAGCTCAGCTCAGGTCTCGTCGCTGACGTCGTGACTTTGAGAAAACTCGAAGTTAAAACTCATTGACGTCGTGACTTTGAGAAAACTCGTTCTCTGTGAAATAGAAAAACATGGCGGACTCACTTGAACGCTGATTTTTCTGGGACGTGCTTGCTCTCTGGGAAGGTCGGTTCAAAAACCCTGGGGAAAAAATGAAGGAAAGTCAGTCAGGTACAGACCACCTCAAAAACTGCAGAGTAAAAACTGGAAATCTGTGAAAAACTCAGGTACATGTTTCTGTCCAGCAGGTGGTGCATGTTGTTGTGGGGGGGGTTGTTGTCATCAAACCACAGGGTCAGAGGCGTCTCCTTCAACACGGTCTCGTCGTGACTCCTCAGAGGACTTTCTGGGATGGACTCTCTCTGTACCACACCCATGGCCTCCCAGTCCAGGTGGGAGTCAGGGGGGGGCGACGGGGGGCTGATCATCTCTGACTCCGCAGGCAGCCGTTTCTGGAGGCGGAGCTCCGACAAGTCTTTCAGCCGCCGTTTGACGTCTTCGTGAGAACCTGCCGCCCTGAGCGTGTCCGCCACAGGGAGCGAGGCGGCGAAAAGAATCCGGAACTCTCTGTCGAAGGCCTCGACGACGGGGCCTCTGAGGACGGTGATCAACTGCCGGTGCAGGTGAGCGTCCGTCCACGTGAGGCTGCGGCGAGAACAGGGACGGCCTGTTACGTCTTTGTAAATGTAACTGACAAACATCCACGGCACGTGGAGTCACACACCTGTAGCTGCCGTGAATCACCGTCTCCAC